AAATTTAATTAATTATTTACAAATAGGAAAACTCAAAGTCAAGGGAATTGGTCCTGGGGTGGCTGGGGTCCCTGGTGTACGAGTACGGTTAAACGACCTTCAGTTGGAAATGGTTGCGCAATGGGGAAGGCTGCGCGTCGCTAGGGAAAGTTGTGACACAATCACGAAACGAACTTGTCCCCAATATACATATAATTTTTGCAAAACGTTTAAGAAAGTTTTGAGATGGCATATTGTGTTGAAAGATAAAATAACATTATTGACGATTATTCACACGTAAGTAAATGCCGATAGCACCAACCAACCGTACGCATTAGTTTTATTTTATTTTTAAGGAAGTTTTTAATTTAAATTTAGAGAAAGTCTCATTTTAAGAAACTTTAAGGTACCTACGCCCTTTTCTCGAGGTTTCGAGTCGTTTGAGTCACAATAACTACTTAAAACCAGTATTGCCACCCGGGTTGGAACCAGATTTGATGAGGCGACGTTTTTAAAAAATATGATGTCGCTAGCGACGTAATATTACCCCTATCACTACCACATTTGCATTATAGCACAAAAAATCCAAAAATGTATTTAGAAAGTGAATGTTTTTATCTGGAAATTATGGATTGTATGATAAATGGTTTCCTTCTGAAAAAAATATAATTTATTACGCGGGTAGTCGCAACGTCAACATTGTGTCATAACAATAAATTAACTTTTAAATATAAACACTTACAAAAGTACTAGTAGTAGTGTGTAATAAGCATTATTATACAAAGATCTACACCATACATTGATATATTTCTCATCGAAGGCGGAATAAAGCAACAGGAAGAATCCAAGTTTGTGTCGTGTCCCGGGTCGGCCGTAAAATATCTAATCAAGACAAAACCGAGAGTGTGACTATTGCAACTATAATTGGTGCCACAGAATTGTCATCCCAGGCCCAAGAGTGATCTAAAAGTGTTGTGAAGAAAGTGAATAGCGCGATTAGCAATAATAAGTAATTATTGTTGCATTGCTTAGAGACTAATTTGCAACATCTATACGATATATTCGTCTCTTCTTACATAGCCTGTGTGGCGAAACGGTCTAGTCGACGGTAATTGCGCTTGTGGATCGAGTTCGAACCTGAGTCAACGAAGAAATTATTGAAACTTTTTATTAAATTTGTTGTTTTACAAACACATTGGAACTTAGTAACGTCGAGAGTTAAATCCAATCGACGCGATGAATAAATGTGCCGTTTGTGCGTTACCGCTCACCGACGAGTCGTACTATATGCAGTGTTCAAAACAAAGTTGCAGAAAGAAATTTGACTTAAAATGCCTGCGAATTGAGCATGAACTGTTTAATGCATTTACCGGCGAATATAAGATGCAGTGGATGTGCTCAGAATGTGTCGATAGCCCCTATAATTCTATATCTTTTGCGTCGCCTGATTATGTCAATACACAGCGAGGGCCGCGACTACGTGGGTCGTCACCCATCCAGACTGAAAGTTTACTTATGGGACAGCTAAAGGAACTGCGAAGCGAATTGGTTTCTCGCCTGGATGGCCAGGCAACAGCTATAAAATGTCTTCAAAAGCAGTTTCAGGAGACTAAGTCCAGTCTTGATAGTGTTTTAAAAATATTGGGTAATTTGGAGGAAACACTATTAAATAAAAAGAGCCCGGAAACGGAAAAAAGCGCTCAAAGCATCCTTCAGCCGATTCTTTCGAAACACTCAAAAGTCAGGCAGGCTCAGCCGGAATCAGTAGTGTTACCAGCATTACCTGCACCTGTACACAGCAATGAATGTGTATCCCAGCCATCGATGTCCTCCTCCGACAAAGAGAGTGTTGGGAGGCTTGTACCGAAGACAGGAAATAAACGCAGTGTAACGACTAAGCAGTCGTCGAGGTTAAAGCAATCTCAAACCGTGCTCGTAGGAAAAAACGTCGAGTGTGCATCAATAAAGGGCATAGAGAGGAAAAAATACTTGCACGTCTGGCGTCTACATCCCGAAACGACACTAGAAGCAATGACCAATTATGTTGAGAACATTTGCGGATCGAGTGCATCGATAAAAGTTGAGAAAATCAAGCACAAATCGCAGAGAGACTACTCATCATTTATTGTCGGCGTTCCTGAAGCTCTGTATTCCAAGTTGAATCAGCCGGAAACATGGCCCATCAATGCGGAGTTTAGCGAATGGGTTTGGTTTCGCAAGTCCCGGAAAGCCCAAACTGATAAGAAATGTGAACTAAATTAGCCGAGTTCCGTACAAATATACATGTATTGCAGTCCGACATATATGCCATCACTGAAACGGGTTGCAATGAGTCCATCCATGATTCGGAAATCGTACCACCCGGATATCATATTCTGAGATGCGACAGGGCAGATGGACGTAAGCAAGGCGGCGTAATGCTTGTGGCGGCACCGCGCTTTGAACTGCGCCCAGTGCGGAACTCTGAATCCTTAGGTATCCCTATAGACAAATGTAATTTTGAAGTGGCTTGTGCCACTATATATTTAAATAACAATTATTTGTTTTTTTTTGTACTGTAATTTACATTCCACCGAATAGCGGTGAGAATGAATATATGCTTTTATTCCGTGTACATGTAGTAGGTATAAAAAAAAAAATATTGTTATCGGCGATTTTAATATTATGTTCTCTAGTCCTTCTAGTGTTGTAAGTTATTTCGAATTTTTCAGTATGTATTTGACAAAATGTATTGACAAAAACATCACTCTATGAAATAAGTATATATATATAATAAGTCTATCGCAATGGAATTTTTCTGTAATGGTAGAATATGTTTATAATGAAATAAATAAATAAAAATAATAATTAAAGCAAATAGGAGACAATACAGGCATATATTTAACACTTATTTCTTCAAAAAATCAAAATACTTTTATATTTATAATTAGCAGATACTGTTGATTTAGATAAGAAGATGTAAGCGTATTTTACTATAACATGACTTTTTGAAAGTTAACTTTACGGTGTATACCTAATTTACCTACCTAACAATTATGGCAGAGATTACTTACAAGTACAAGTAATAATCTCTGCCAAATATAATTTCGGCCGGGCGATTCGACTGATTCGGTCGCACAGGCCACAATAGTCTGATCAACCGCTATGTAAATTAATTCTTTTGTCCCATGGCCCCCATGGGGAGACCGGATTTCACTTTTATTATTACTCGTTTTTGTATCTCGTGAACTATGTTTTATTTTGTTTTGTTCATTTTCGCGCAGTTTTGATTTTGAGAGTGAAATAAACTGATTTGAAGTAATTTTATTTTATTGTAGTATTTTATATTAGTAAAGGTTACAATTTTTTTATTATTTTTGGCCGTTTATTTCCATAAACTACATACGATATACCTTATTAATAAAATAAGAAAACATGTGAGTGCCACTGCCGACTAATACTTATGAATGTTATGCATGCCGGATGCAATAATGTCGGATCCGGTACTTCTGACAAATCATCATTTGATTTTAACCGGTAGCAACGGACTTTTCTCATTATAATATTTACATGTAAAATACCACGTAAGTTCCACTAATAAATGCACATCTTGCACGATACAACAAACAAAGTTTCATGCTTATATCTGTAACGATTACAAAAATATAAACAAAAGAAACTTTGAATCGCTCTCCTATAAAGTTGCCGATTTGCAGATCCGACTATGTTAGTAGTTAGGGGCGATACTATATAGGAATGTGTTATTCTAGGTCTGGTGCGGACAGCGCCATGTTCATGTTTCGTTGAAAACGCTTTATTCTTTCTATTGTTGCGGACAGCGCCCTCTTCATTTATTTGTTGAAAACGGTTTATTGTTCTTGTTATTGTCAGCCAGCACCACAGCGTAATCTTCATGTTTTATGAAAACGCTTTATTATTCCTATTGTTGCGGACAGCGCCATCTTCATTTGTTTGTTGAAAACGCTTTATTGTTCTTGTTATTGTCAGCCAGCACCACAGCGTAATCTTCATGTTTTATGAAAACGCTTTATTATTCCTATTGTTGCGGACAGCGCCATCTTCATTTGTTTGTTGAAAACGCTTTATTGTTCTTGTTATTGTCAGCCAGCACCACAGCGTAATCTTCATGTTTTATGAAAACGCTTTATTATTCCTATTGTTGCGGACAGCGCCCTCTTCATTTATTTGTTGAAAACGCTTTATTATTCCTATTGTTGCGGACAGCGCCATCTTCATTTGTTTGTTGAAAACGCTTTATTGCTTTGTTATTCCAGACAGCGCCATTTCTATGTGTTCGTTGAAAAACTCAAGAAAGAAATCACTAACTCACGTTGCAAGCCTTCTATGTACATACATAAAGTGAGGGACACCCATAGCAGGCCGGGTGATCAGTCCACACCATCAGCTGACCATTTCATCCATTTTTTATTAGCTTACTCAAAATTTTTTAAACACGACATATTTTATTTTAATTTACCCACCATAGTAATAATTATTAGTATAAAAAAGATTTTTTTTATTTAGTTAGAAAAATATTTAAGTGTTACTCTAAAAAAAGTTTAATTAAGTGTAATGATTAATGTTATGTAACGAGGTAATTTAAATAAACAACTTGACCGATTAAAGACTTTAATTTTTATCAAATTGTAACAGAGCTTTCGCTTTGATTAGTCCCACAATTAGAATGCCTAACCCAATGTCGTGCACGCGCTTTCGCGCGCTTTTCCCGATATGTGAATGCACGATCTGTCATCTCGGGAGTGAACTATCTTTGTCACTACAGACTATATCACACCACAGACTGTATCACATCACAGACTATATCACAGTCTACGGCTCGGTTTGTGATTGGCTCTGTTTGCTAACATGATGGTTAGCGGCTGGCATGGCTGGCATAGCTGGCATAGCTGGGCATGGCTGGCTTGGCTGGCTTGGCTGGCTTGGCTGGCTTGGCTGGCATGGCTGGCTTGGCTGGCATTGACTCGGCTTGTAGGGCTTAGCACAACATCTTAGGTAACGCGTTACAATCGGCCATCCTGCAACGATTGCTCCCGCAACGGGAACAAATACGTATTTAGCTTTCTAGTAAATCAATCAAATCCTCAGTTTCTACTTGTTCGTCACCACTAGAGTCACTTTCAGATACTGGGGCTATACTTCGATAAGGACGTAATGCGTCAGCAGAAACCAACCCCATAAAACTTTTATACCCACGTACCCCCTTTATACTTCTGATTTTATACCTATCATTACCTAGTACTTTAGTTACAATGTATGGACCTGAATAAATGTCATCTAGTTTGGTATTGACCTTGGCGGCACTACTCGTCGGAGCCTGTTTCCACAAAACCAGATCATTCTTACTATACACACGACTTTTTTTTCTACACTTATCAAAATTACGTTTCATTTTAGAGCTAGCTTTATCCAAACGTTGTTTAGCTTTTCGACGTTTGTCTTGAGTCGACTCAAATACTCGCCCCGGAATTGAAACATCGCATACAGACCTAGCATTTCGGGAAAACATCAGATCAAACGGCTTAAACCCCGTACTATCATTTAAAGTGTTATTGATGCCCCATATCACATCGCAAATGCTATTTGACCAATTGTTCGCCGCTTCGCTTGGATCTGTAGCGCGTAATGCGTTAAGTATAGTTCGATTGGTTCGTTCCACTTGCCCATTTGCCCTAGGGCACGCAATAGTAGTTAGAGTGTGCTTTACTTGTTTTTCTGTGACAAATTTTTTAAAGTACCTGCTAGTGAACGCTTTACCATGATCCGAGACTATTCTATCGGGGTAACCAAACAAACTAAAAACTTTTTTTAGTACTCTTATTGTCTCAATAGAATTTAGGGTTCGGGTTGGTTCCGCAACTACAAACTTCGAGAATGCATCAGTCATAACTAACATGTAACTATATCCTTTCTTTGTTTTGCAAAATGGACCTAAATGATCCACATGAATTACTCTAAACGCCTCAGCAGGTTTAGGAATGGGATGTAGTAGCCCTTCTCGCCTACCATTTTCACCCTTTCCATACGCACAGTGTAAGCAAGCCGTCACATATTTTTTAATAAAACGACTCATTTTCGGAAACCAATAATCATTTTTGATTAAGTCTGTACAACGCTTTATTCCTACATGTCCTATATCATCGTGATGCATTTGAACGATTTTCCACCTAGCTACCCTAGGAACAACAAGCCTATTTCCGTTAATAGTCTGTCTATATAATCTATCGTTAATAACTACGAAGTCCCTAACTATGTCCTTATCTGCGGCGCCCGATTTTAATTGATCGATAATACTTTTGACTTTTTCATCCTGTATCTGAACCGTATAAAACCAATCTTCAGACCCCAACCTATACACATTGACCGTATTTAATGCGTTCCTACTTAAAGCATCAACGTGTCTCATTCGTTCTCCGGGTCTGTATTCAATATCAAGGTCGTAATCCTGTATCATCAACCACCATCTTGCAATTCGAGGAATTAAATCGCGTTTAGTTAAGGTCGAACGAACGGCTGTACAGTCAGTGACTACCTTTACTCTTTTACCTACTATGTAAATTCGAAACTTCCGTAGTGATTCAACAACAGCAAGCGTTTCGAGTTCATAACTGTGGTACATACTCTCATGTTTAGATGTTATGCGACTAAAATACGTGACTGGCCTCAAAGTGATATCAAGTTGTTTTTGTAAAAGGATGCCTGCTATCCCGGCCTTACAGGCATCTGTATGAATCTCAATCTCGAGAGAAGGATCATATAAAGCTAACACAGGTTTAGAACACAAGCGTTTCTTTAATTCTACAAAACTCTCCGCCTGAGTAGTGCCCCAATTCCAAGCTACATCCTTCTTAGTTAAATCAGTTAATGGACGAGCTATTTGAGCAAACTTATAGATGAATTTCCTAAAATAACTGCACAACCCTATAAACTGCCGAACTTCATGTACATTTTTGGGTGCTGAAAATTGTGAAACTGCATTGAGCTTATGTTCTGCGGGTTGTACTCCATGTTCAGAGATCTCATGACCCAGATAAGTAACTTTTTGTTGCAAAAATGAACATTTATTCATATTTAATTTAAGATTTTCTAATTTAAATTTACTAAGTAATATTTCTAACATTTTAAGGCCACCCTTAACACTTGTTGAAGGTAACAAGATATCGTCTAAGAACGCTAATACTTCACATGAGTCTTCGAGGCTATTATTGATTGAACTCACTATCCTACTAATTAGTCGCATGAACACTGCGGGTGAATTTGCTAACCCAAATGGCACTCTAGTATATTCATAATGCCCTGCTTGACAAACAAAAGCACTTTTGTGAGTATCTTGTGGCTTTAATGGAAGTTGATAATAGCTTTGTGCCATATCGAGACAAGTGAAATATTTTTTCCCTGACAACTTTGCTATATGATCTTCAATATTAGGCATAGGATACCTATCTTTTATTGTAATTGAATTCAAGGCACGATAGTCTACACATAACCTACTATCACCATTCTTTTTCTTAACTAAAACAACAGGAGATGCATAACTTGATTCGGACTCTTTGATAATACCTGCATTTAACAATTCGGTAATTTTACTTTTTACAATGTCCTGTTCACAATGTGATAACTGATAGGGATGGCGATAAATAGGCTTTTCAGTGGTGAGATTGATTGGCATTGAAATGAGATTAGTACAACCAAGGTCGTCAGTACCCCTAGCAAAGCAATCCTTAAATCTAACTAACAATTCTATTAATTGTAAATATTCACTGTCTGTTATTTTACCAATATTCATATCTGCTATTTGAACACCCCCAATAGTATCTTCAGGCTTTAAATGTAACACAGATTGCACACAGTTAGTAAAATAAGGAAGGCTAACCTGGCTATCTATGGCTGGCTCTGAGCAATCCTCTGCCCGCGTGAGGATTTGACTGGCGTCCCATGTTATGTCCTTTTGGCCGCTGTTGATTATCTTTATGTAACCCAAATTGCCTCGCAGAAGCGTAGCTGGTAAAGAGTAAGAGATATCTCCAAACTCATAATGTCGCATAGCACTGCATACATTGTTGTCTTCGCGGTTTCCTTCAACTCTTACTCGGATAATTGACGTTCCCGGGGGTAAAGTTTCTTTGGCAGCCGTGACGACGATATACTTTCCCAATTTGTTAATGTCATTAATTTTAGATAGAAAATCACAATTCTCAATTAATCTCAGAGTGGCCGCGCCATTTTCAACCGTCAATGTCACGTTTCCCGCGTTAATGACAGGCTGTCCAATCAATAGGTCTACGTCACCCATCTCTGCGTCTGTCAAGTAAGCTTCACTAGACATTTCCACGTTATCTATTTTCAGATTTATTTGAACTTTCCCGCGGGATGTAATTAAACCGCCGGCAAATCCTTTAAGTATTATTTTCGTTGGTATGACTTTCAAGGAAAGGGCAGTAGAAATCTTCGCGCTCATTACATTTACTTGGCTACCAGTATCCAGATATGATTTGATATAAATGCCATCTACTTGAGCTGTTTTTTTGTAGGTATCGTTGTAATTTTGAATTAATTTTATGTCTCTAACACCACCACCGGCCGAGTTTAAAATCGAAGTATCACATTTTGTGGCTATATGTCCTTGCTTACCGCATTTATAACACAGGCGTAGATCTGGCATGGAACAATTACGCAGCATGTGACCAACCTTCTTACATCGTGGGCACGGGTCGTTTTCATAAACTTTTGGGACAGTAAAAGGTTGGTTCTCTTTGCATTGCGGGCGGGTGACAGATTGTCCCCGATAGTCATCTATTGCGCTAAGGAACCCTTCGTAAAGTTCATCAGGACGTTCGCATTGAAAAGCAAGTGCGTTAGGTTGCAAGGAAGCGGGTAGGCCGCGTATTATACATGACACGCTAGCAGCATCCGATAGCTTACATCTAAAACATAATGTAGCTTTATCTTGATAATATTTGGTCATAGATTCATTAGGTAGCTTTTTCCTTTGCATCATTTCCTCTAGCAAAGAACCGTAATCTCGATGCTTCGGAAATGCGCGTAGCAACAAGACTTTCCATTCTTGCCACGTATGATCATAATCATCGAGTCGATTATACCATTTGCGAGCCTGACCGCGTAGCTTGTCTTGAAGGTAGAATGCCTTTACTGTGTCACTCCATGTATATATCTCTCCCAATTGCTCGATCTTATTTATCCAGGCCGACACCGTGCAATCGTCGCTGTCAGGATCGAAATCGGGAATTAGCGATGACGTTCGTTGAGGGTTGCTTGGGCCGGCGCTAGAGATTTCCTGATTTAGATCGTTCATGGCTCTTTTTACTTCATTTTGAAGCAATTGCTTTAACAATTTCTTGGCAGGCGGTTCCTCATGATTTCGGTCGGTGTTGTTTTTTCTGGAGGAACTGTTTCGGCGGACGCCGTGTCCAACTTTATTGCGCTTCATCCCACTTCTGAATTGTAACGAGGTAATTTAAATAAACAACTTGACCGATTAAAGACTTTAATTTTTATCAAATTGTAACAGAGCTTTCGCTTTGATTAGTCCCACAATTAGAATGCCTAACCCAATGTCGTGCACGCGCTTTCGCGCGCTTTTCCCGATATGTGAATGCACGATCTGTCATCTCGGGAGTGAACTATCTTTGTCACTACAGACTATATCACACCACAGACTGTATCACATCACAGACTATATCACAGTCTACGGCTCGGTTTGTGATTGGCTCTGTTTGCTAACATGATGGTTAGCGGCTGGCATGGCTGGCATAGCTGGCATAGCTGGGCATGGCTGGCTTGGCTGGCTTGGCTGGCTTGGCTGGCTTGGCTGGCATGGCTGGCTTGGCTGGCATTGACTCGGCTTGTAGGGCTTAGCACAACATCTTAGGTAACGCGTTACAGTTATTTAAATAATAATTACACCTATTAAGAAAATATAAGTTTAAAAAGTCAACTGTCTGAACAATGTCATTTACGCCAACTCAGCTTTGACACAGCTGCAAACTAATTCGGCAAGAATGTTAAAAATTCTACAAACAGCTAATTATGCGATAGTTGTCCATCTTTGTCATCGTCATCCCATTGAGAACAGCAAGTGTAGTTGTTCACTACTTTTTTTTACTTTCCCTGCTTGTTGGATAGCTTAAGAATAATAGGTACAATTTCAATACTACTAGACCTGCCATACAAAATCTTTTGAATATTTGTAAAATAAATTAATATTTTCAACTAATTTGTTTCTTTCTTTTTATTTTCGGTTGCCTTCTGTAGCCAAGTTGATTCCGATACCTACTAATTTAGTGATCAATAAAACGACTCATCTAGAGTTAAAAAATCACACAGAAATAATAAAATAAAAACAAGAAATTCGCAAAAACATGAATAAAAACAAAATGTCGGATTTTTTCTCAAAAGTTTAAATGCGTCATAACTTAAAAATTCTAAGTTTTGGAAAGGTTCCGTCATACACAAATTGGTCAGAGAAAATGGAAAAGTGAACGAGGGGCGGAACTGACAAAAGACAAAAGATCTGTCTGCTTTTATGGGTGCAATAAATGTTTAATCCTTGCGGAGCGGCACACCTGTTACTTGCAAAGCAATATTCTTAATTCTATATTTGGAACATATTTTATTCATATGGTCACAAAAAAACACGGCAAATGCAGCCCTAACTCTTAGTCTTATTCGTCAAAATGTTTCTTTATGGTGCTGAGCGGCAATCACTTTGACTTCTAAAACTATTACTAGTCTCAAAACTTTCTCACGGTGTGAAAAACAATAAGGAAAGCACCACTTGAATCCTCAGCGTTAGTATTATATATAGTATTTTTAGCAATCTAATCTCATGATTAATAACAAATAAAGACCAATTTAAAGGACATACTCTATTTAGAGAGCAAAAATAATTCTAAGATACACCTAGGCAAAACTATATATCCGTTACTTTTGACATATATATTTTTTTAATTCATATAGTGCCATCATGTGCGAACTCTTATGAAAAATATTAAAGGTTTCAACGAACTAGTCGGTTCGACCCGTTCAATGCGTTCGATTTGATTGATTGGATTCGAAGCGACATCCTAACTTCATGTGGATTCATCCCCGGAGTTACGGAAGGTTCTTTTTTATTTTTTTTTATTTACATATATGCACTGTCATACCAGATTCAAACCAATGCGACAGAGATCTTAAAAAACTAAACAATATATACATGATAGAACAAAAATATATGAACTTAAAGCAAACTATCTTTCGTAACTTAATATAAACTTTAATGTATTTGTGAGTTCACCCCAAGGACTGTAAAAAATATCTGCTTTTTTGTGCAATACATTTAGGACCTCGACAGTCCTCGTCCATTGCGCCTTTGCCATTAAGTTCGTTCTAGCAAAAGGCACCACGAGAAGAGGTGGCGCGTGTCTTTTGTACCTATAGCAATCAAGAACGTTTATGCTTAACATGCCTAGGACGCCGATGTTGTATACTTTCCCTCTTAATAATTTAATGACATAAACGGCTAGAGCAAAATCCCTTCTTACTCTCAACTTACTGTAGCCCACCATTCCTAGCACAAAGAGTGTTGGGTACATAAGAGGATAATAGGGATAAATCCCGTACATTTTAAAATATAAATGTCTTACAAATTTATTTTAAATTTTTTCTAACATGGCACAGTATTTTTCTTCGTGAGGTGCCCATATTGCAGCATTATGTTCCAAATGGCTTTTTTTTTTAATTTAAATAATCTATTGTTGTAATATTACCTCGCCCTATATAAGAGAACGTAGAATAAAAATAATGTTTAAGGCATGTTTGGGTGACTAATTAAGTGTTAGTGTTAGATAAGTAGACTTACCATATCGCTGAGACAGCCGGGACCGACGAAGAGACAGCAGATTTCGTTACTTGTTGCGACAGATGCTCATTGCATTATATTACAAGAGAGTTACATTATTTAATTTGGAAGATGCTTTGAGAGTAAATAAATTATAAAGTATTGTATTATGATATGTTGTTCTTCCGATTCATTCATTTAATGCACTTGGTCCTGTGTACGTCTATATTTGATCTCGATTTGAACTTGTCAATTGTGTCTAAGACAAAGTGTAACACCTCAATAGGTAGGAATTTTTAACAGAGTGGAACGAATTAGCAACCACTTACAAAATATGTTCGGCATCGAAATTTTTCAGTGGAAGTGCTGTACGCTCGAGGTAATTAAATTCGGAGTTCCCATTAGTACCAATTTATTGGTGATAGTAGGTGAATTTTAAAGCGACGCAATTTTCGAGCCCTACGCCAATAGTTTTTCTATAAAAAGATAAAAAATAAATATAAAAAACGTTTCATTACATTACCAAAGAGTTCGTAGAAGACGAGAAGAAGCTTAAAAACAGCTATATTTATCTTTAATAACTGAAAGATTATTTAGAAATTTGTGTATGCTTTTTGTCTTTAAGTTATGAGGGGCTCTAATAGTGTCCTAAGATATATTCATCTTTGACTTGTATAAGATGTTTGTTTAAGGCATAATTAAGTCTATTTATGGTTTACTTTAAACGTACATGCGTATGATACAAATTTAGAATTTGGTCCATTTCGTGCGTTGAACTACGCTACAGCGCCTCCCATTGGTCCGGCCTCTGCAGAAAAGAAAAAAGTTGAAAGTCGTCGGATTTAAAATTACGCACAGGTCGGTCGTAGACTGGCCTTGACGGTAAGTGCAATTTTCTGTCTTAAGCAGAGGGTTCAGTACTACGCCTCTAAAAGCACCCCAGTCTTAGTGTGCTTATTATATATATTCAAGGCTTGCGACACAATTTCTTAAATTGAGAACAAATACAAGGTTTTCTGATGAGGTTATAGGAACTTTGATGGGCTTTACTTCATGGAAAGTAAATTCAATACCCAATACATATGACGTCTCAATAAGATACGTTACCAACATTTTTCTAGTTAAGAGGAAATGTAGATTCTCCAGATGACAAGTTTTTGTGGCAACAAACCACGATCCGTTGATAATCATCCACATATCTCTATATTGGACCGATGAGGTTATCGATTCTATATTTAACATAACTATCTATACAAATATTTGCATTAATACATTGCGCTTAGAATCATCTTAGTTTCGAATAAACTTTCTTCCCACGAGTAGGTATAGAACGAAGTGTAAAATCAGACGGCGTCGACACGCCTTCGAAGTGGGACCTGTGTCGCTTTTCGCCAAAAGTTGACCGCTCAGACGTGAACGAGGGAAATTATCATTAATGCGGATGACATTATTTCAGGCTTTGTTTAAATAACGAATATTAATATTTACGGGCCGATTCCCGATCATTGAAGTATGGCTCTACTTCGACTACTCCTGGTAAACCCCACTAAGTACTACTAATCTAGGTGGTCGAGGGAACACTCGCTTCCTCTAAAAATTATATTTGAAGTTTGTTGAAGTACATTTGATAATTTTCCGGAACGTTACGTCATTTAGAATTTGGAGCCCATCCACATTTTTTGGTTTGATTTGGTTAAATAGAAAATAATAAAGAATATAGGATCGTTCTCTTCGTTATTTCTTTATAAATTTATTGATTGTCATTGTCTTCCTGTTTTTGCGAGTAGCTGTTCTAGGTGCCACTCCTACAAAAATCCGTAAGACGGTTGATGATTCATCTTATCATAATTATTGCGCCTTCTATATCTATATTTCATATGATATGGCTACGTAGGAATCTTATCCATTTGATACATTTGACGTAGTTAGGAAACCGTGGGGCGGTGGAAGTGTTGATCGATAAATGAGGATAATAATGTGAACATAAGTTTGCCATTAGTGGACGGTGCTACCAACTCGAGCAGACAATATTCAATAACCTCATAAAAATTAGGTTTAGAGCCGGCGGCATAAAACGTATCGGTTCCGATAACGAACCACGGTTGAACGCGGCTCACGGCGTAATATGCACAACGATTGTCACTTATGAGTTTCTACGATTATTTTTAAACATATTAACGGTGTCATTAGAGGGTTTTTTTTTTAATTTTTGGGTAAACATTAATAGACGGTAAATATAGAATCTTCCGAAACTGAATAATTTCTTATAAATGTTGAAATCGGTTGGAAAAAAATGTTGTATCTCAGTATTAAATGGAATCGGCACTCCATACAGAACAAGTCGTCGCTGAAACAAAATATACGAGGAGACGCAACCCTATGGAAACAGCGATGCGACGCGGAAACTTAATAACGGATGGCGCAAGTGCGACTCGAAACATTTTATTACCTGTGCGAAGTGATTTGACTTCCCATTTCTGACAGAGCTAATTCATTCCTGTACTTCCTAGTTGCTTTGTATATGCGATAAATTATGTTCGTAATAGTCAATGAAAAAAAGGAAGAAAATTCCGAAGCACTTTTTGGAACTCTATTGGAAGACACTTTTAAAATTTCCAATAATATGATCTAACCTAACTTTAAACTGGGTCTATTAACATAGTGGTTGTATGTGGGTAATCATATAGAATAAATTAAACTGCGCATATACATTTAATTAACATTTAAACAACATCTCGTTTATTAATTATAGACAAGTGTGCGTTTATTTACAGTGTATGCTTATAATAACGTTTCACCAACAACTAAAGACAACTGAAAACAAATAGGTATAGAAATCGACTTTTACACCCTGCACGCGAAAGTGCCTTTAAAGTTCTCACTTTGTACAACTTACCAAGCATGATTAGGATTTTTATACTTCACCTACTTAATTATATAAAGGTTTTTCATAGCTAAGTGATCGTGATATGTTGCCACTATACAAAATCACTAACTAGGTATTACTTAACTAAATAAAAAATAAAGAAGTTAAACATCGAATTAGAAATAATTTATGACATACTACATTACTGACATTTATGACATATACATCTAAATACTGTCCATAGTTTACGCGAGTAGTACACATTTGCTTTGCAGCAGCAGTCTCCCCGTGACCACGGCTGCTGCAAAGCATCCGAAACGTCGGGCCGAAGTTAAAAATCATTTTCAAATAAGTTTAACTAATATATCGCGTTTTAAACCGTTAAAGTGTTTTATTTAAACATATACATCTATTCATTATACGCCATACATTAGATCAACTAGAACTAGAATCAAAACATTTGGCCCATCGATTATAATTTCATTATTTATTTACATTTTACAGTGATAATGACCTAATATGTATAATTCTTTGCACATACAGAGTATTAACAAATGTAACCAATTTCTTTGAATACTTTATTACTTTTTACATCACATTGCACTATATAATTTAAAAGTCGAAAATAAATTGAAAAAAAATTGGACTCGGGTAGGACTTGAACCGGCATCGTCAGCGTTCAGCGTCAGAGCGAAAGCACGAAACGCTGACGATGACGGTTCAAATCCTGCCTTTATTTGCTTTATTTCTCTCCAGTTACTTTTTATATCACCACACTAGGTTTTTCGTGATTTAATTTAATGTACAGAAAACACTTGCTTTGTGAAAGGAATGAGAAGTGTAAAATAAGGTTTTTGTGATTAAAATCTATTCAATATTAATTAGATTTGTATAATCTGACTATTTGTAGCTCATTGAGACTACAAAACAGGGAACAGATTGAAAAATTCTATCTAAGTATTTTTCCAACAAAACTTTAATTCATCACTAAAAAAAATATTTAAGCGTCATACAGTGGCATGTATTTCTTTATTCTTACAACTTTTGTGTTGGAATCTTTCATTCATTCAAAAATGCATATAGCACTTACTGGGTTCTGCAACACCACTTCGTCGCTGTTAAACATTATGGGGACCAAACAATGGAGGAAATGTTCCCGCAGAGAACTGCTATCCACTGGCTGACGAGGATCCATTTTTGAGCCCGGCTCATGTTGTGTCTGCGGATGAAATAGATCTCTATATATGTTTTTAATAATAATAATAAAACTCTTTATTGCACAAACATGGACACAATAAATGTACAAAATAAAACATGTTTGTGCAAAGGCGGCCTTATTGCCTATGGTGATTACTTCCAGGCAACCTTTGCATGTAGAAATAAGAAATAAAAAGATAACTTTAGTAAACAATTAAAGTCAAAATAAAAAATAAAAAAATTATACAATAAAAAGATAATTTAAACTGAAAATTAACACTAAATTACTAAAGCTTAACATAATTTACAGATAAAATAACACATAGAACTACGTGTGTTTAATTATATTCACAATCGCACCTAGAAGCCCAAATTTCGTGAAGCTAGCTCAAATGGTATGAAGGTCAAAAGGACGTAAAGCATTTTAGCAGACTAACCGACTCCTAGTACCTGAACCTAACCTTCTTTCAGATAACCTTGAAATAAATCTGGGTGGGGGGAGCTGTCATGAGTGTTGATTTCAATGCCGCTGTTTACTGTCATCCGTTTAGGTTTGGCTCACTCAATCAGGTGTCTCTGTTAAACAACGTTAAATTCCGACATTGTAGCAGCAAACTAAAATAAGAAAGATTGGTCCCCAAGGTTCGATTCTCTGATTTATTTGAAAATAAGAAGTAATATTTAAGGTATAAATTAGTTAGTTCGTTAATCTTTGTACCATAACAAGAAAGTTCAATTTATATGCATACCATCGTAAAAATAATAATGAAGTCTTTATTACCGATACATGTATAGTTTTTTTAAATTGGCAAAAAACCGCAACAAATATGGCTGATTTCAAACTATAGAGAACGAGTTGTTGCCACAAATGACACAGGAATAAAGAAACGTCGATTATATTATGTGTTCCAAACTGTCTATTTACAATTTATAAGATTTTTTTTAATTTCGCATGACTATGAGCTTCTACTAAGTGAATTTGAGGTAGTCGTTAGTTGAGTATACCTAAAATCCAGTATCCCAAGTGTGTTTTTCTGTGAATCAATGTAAACCTTTTTAAAAACATCGCGATTTTATGTATATGATGTGTTTTTTTTTACCAAAGATGTTAGAAAAAATAGACTATATTTATTGACTAATTAGATTTGTTCCCGTTAGGGCCGCGCCGCGAAAGAACGCTTATTCGCGCCAGCGTCCTTATTAATTAATTATGCCTGGTTGACTAGCGGAAGCGCACACATTAAACGCGTCCAGTCTGAGAGTAAATTAATTTAAGTTATTGCTGAAATAGTTCAGATATATATTATGCCACTTTAGTATAGTACCTAATTTGTGAGTTATTTAATATTACTCAGGTAAATTGGTCCTTTCCATACCTAATTTCTTTGTAGCAAAATCTATTTTACATCAGTCATTTTATTAAGTAGTTAGTATACCTTGCAAGCTTCATTAGTCATACAGGTCAGAATTTTTTTTTTTTATTTGAAAATTAATTTAATATGATAAGGCAATACTTACTCAAGCACGGTCCTCTGGTATTAATTGAGACGCGCTGTCAACCTATGTACACGACGAATTATACATCGAATTGTGGAATACGCGAGCAAATTCGATACGAGTAATCTCTTTTATACGAAGTTCCGCGGCAAAGATTTCTGCTGGATGCGAATTTCCACATCACATCCGTTTTGTTATAGGCGCAGCGCGGCGTCTGAACGGCGTCTTATTTTCCACTCTGAGTCAAAAGTCTTTTTCCGAATTATTTTAGCAGACAATTGGTTTATTAACTTTAATGGCAATCGAACTTAATACTGTCTGTAGTTTACGCTAGTAGTACGCATTTAAATAAAACAATTTTAATTTACGGGCGTATCGGATGCTTGGAGCAGCAGTGAAAGTGTTTTATTTAAAAGTAATTAAAATATTATTTATTTGGGATATACCTATTGCTTTGCGTGAATTGCATACAATAGAAGGATTTATTTAAAAAAATGAAACGACCAATAAAGAGTAAAGTAAAGTAAAATAATGCTGCACATAAGAACGCTAAAGCTAAGAAACAAATTAGGGGCAAGTCTGTCATAAGTGCCCACGAGGTGCTTAAGGAGCTCTCCCTTTTTATCCACACTTTAATGAAGCTATTTTTACAAAAACAAGTGTGTGTTACCAGTGACCATGTATGGTACCGCGAACATGGTGCATAGACTACGCGTCGCTCAGCGTGCGATGGAAAGGGCTATGCTCGGAGTTAGGATAACTAAAGTCACTGACAAAGCCCGTCGAATTAGCAAGCTGAAGTGGCAGTGGGCTGGGCACATACTAGTAGTCAGTTCTTCTAGTAGGCCGTTGGGGCAAAAATATTCTGGAGTGGGGACCACGTACCGGACGTCGAAAACCTGGAGGACCTCCTACAAGGTGGAACGACGACCTGGTCAAGGTAGCGTGAAACGCTGGATTCAACTAGCGTACGACCGGTCGTACTGGAAGTTTATGGGGGAGGCCTATGTCCAGCGGTGGACACCAAACGACTGAAACTATCTAAATGGTTGCGGTGGGTGACAAATGTATCGGTGTCTTTTTGCCACCAACAAACGTCGTCTCGTTTTATATGTGCGTCTGGTCGGAATTTGGTAAAAACTTAAAATAATATACATTATGTTCATCAATAATAAGATAAGGACTACCTTTTATGCCTTTACGAGGCATTTAAGCAATCAGCAAACCACTAAATAAAATTTAAAACTTTCTTTCGTATTCATTACAAGGATAGATATTATTAACTCCTTAACTTAGATGTCTTCTTCGTCACTCCTTATAATGTGTCGTGTACTTTCGGGAGAAAGTTTTTATTGTAATTCTTTGTAATAAAGAAATTAAGTTCATAACAAAAAGAAGAAGAACGGAACGGAAAAACGGAAGACGGAAAATTGAAACAGACATAGGACATTTCCGCTGTCTTCCTTTTCAAATACACGGAAAGATGTCAAGGATGTTGTGTGTGATTTTTACTTTGATAAATAAATTGTATAGGTATAAACCTGTACTACGATATTATATATAAGTATTTTTTGTTACACAGTTTACCTGGTTCTTCTAATGACTCACTTCCTTAAGGCGCTCGCTATTATCCAATCTCCCCTAATTACATCGATGCACGGCATCTAGATGTGACGTTAGATGAGACTCTTTCATAAACGGTAGTTTCAAATGTACTGTACATATTTTAATAGCAAATGCGTTAATTTTAGTAATTGTCAAAAATACTATTTATATCTATGAATTTTCGTTTACGTACGGAGGGACTTATTCCTTTAAAAAAATTACTCGGTAGCTCAATTGGTAGAGCAACAGCACGGAACGTGACGATGCCGGTTCAAGTTCTGCCCGAGTCAAAAAATTTTTCAATTTATTTTCGAAATTTAAATTGTACTATCCTAGCAGTCTTGGCGGAGATCGTAACATTATATCTGTGTATGGCAATCCTGTTAATTACACTGCCAATTATTTTAATTTTAAAAGCTAATGACTGAAAATTTACTTCGCAAAAAGGATTACGAACTTTTATTTTGGAAATCGGTGCCAAGTAAATGTTTTAATAAACTTACTTCAAATACAAATTACTAAGCACGCATATATTATAACAATCATAAAACAATAAACACACTTAAAAAAAATATCTGAATCGGTACTTACTACTGCTACTATAAGAGTTACTGTTAAACATTAACTATTTTGATAAGGATTAAGACGTATAAAGTAGCTTTTATAGCGGTCACATTTAAATTTAACTCAAAACATTAAAAGCACGAAAAATTTGTAGATTTTTGTAATCGTACGTTCTGATAAATTGTAGTACATTGTTTTATTCTATAGTCAATAGTTACGTTAAGTCATATGGTAATTCTTTCGTGTTCGCAGGAATAGTGTTGTTTTCTAATAAAGAAATATTTTTTCAGGGCCTAATCATTTTAATAAAAAATTTCCTCTTTTTAATATTAGTAGATATAGTATTTTTCTTTCTTCAGTATTATCACGGCAGTATTAAGTTTTACAATACGTATTACGTTATGCGTTACGGGTTGCCTAGGAACAATTAAATTATTATCAATACGGACACGCTAATCTCATGAACTACTGTATATAAATCATTAATATAAATCTTTAATCTGAATAAAAAATCTTTTTGTGTTAGTATCGACTATCGAGAAAGGCTATATGGTTTGCGACTTACATATTAGGTGCTGCGACTAATACGGGCGAAAAAACACCGGAAAATGTGGAGAAAACGGGTAAAGTTATTCATCTTTGTGGTAAAGCAGCTTAAATCTAGAAAGATATTAGCAGTTATTAGCAGTCCACGCGGACGAAGTGCACTAATGCTTAAGATTAAGATGAAAGAAGTCTGGGTTTGGATCCTGGGAAAACATAGCAAGTAATTCTGGCTTCGCAGAGCATGAAAGTCTGACCAACTTGTTTAAATATTTTTTTAAATAATAATAATAATGAAAATAATATATTTTAAAAGTTGATGTCAGAAATAAAATCTATGAACGAATTTTAACTTATAACAATATATAAAAGACATAACAAAAAAGTGTCGTAAATTTTGAGGAATAACAGTTAAAGTTTAAGTGAAACTGGCATGGAAAATGGCCTGCCCCATGCCCTAGGTCAGGGATGCACGGACTTACTAAGACCAGGGGTCACAAACATATCATGAACTCATGGCGGGCCGCCAGAAATATAGGTAATTAAAGACAATACATAATGATCAAGATAATGCATTCAAATTAAAAAAGAGTATTTGAGAGACTGGCAATGTATGTGCATGTATTTTTAGTACGTACAGACGTTATATAACGTCTCTACGAGGTTACAGCTCAATCGGGCTTTTGTCTATTTCGACGGGGCTACCTTAGCACTTGAAATAAGAGGAATATTTAAGAGTTTTTACAGTTTGATAGATGCTTATACGAGTAGGTAGGTTCTTGTCAATATAATTAGGTTGTCAATTTTTGTTGAGCTATAAATAAAATAATTATTTTACTCCCAAACAGAGAAATATCAAATATCAGTTCAATTCATATTTAGGAAGATTTTAAAGCTGGTCGAAGGGGAAATTGAACTGGCATCCCTGGTGTGCGAGTACGGTTAAACCGCCCTCAGTTGGAAATGGTTGCGCATTGGGGAAGGGTGCGCGTCGCTAGAAAAAGTTGTCACAGAGTCACGAAACTCTATAAGAAACGAAGTTCCCCAATAGTGATAAAAATGTCGTGTGCCTTTGATGGTGCTGCGAGACGTCATATGGAAGATAAAATACCATTATCAACGATCATTCCCAAGTAAGTAAATACCGATAACACCAACTGTACTTTTTCGTTTTATTTTATTTCACTGCGAACCGATGTTTCATTGCAGTTAAAAAGTATTTGAGTAATGAAGTTTGCATTTTGAACCTTTAAAGTGACTTAAATGATAACATTTAAACTCCTTGCTCATAGTTGCGAGTCGTCTGAGTCATTTTTTTTAATCTAATTAAATGTATAAATTTTCTATTAGCAAATCACAGTAATTACTTACAATCAGTACTACTAACAGGCGAGGGGTTCTGAAATCCGGATGAATATTTTTTTAAATATGACGCCAACGCAACGTTTTGAAAACGTTTCCTTAATGTCAAACAAATTAACAAAACTAATTTTGATCTGTTAAATTTAGATTTCCTTTCAATTTCCATTAAGTGATTAAAATATATTTTTAACATAATCATTTGTTTGTTTGTTTCGTCAATTTCATTTTAACAACATTGTTTACTTAGGATTTGCATACGATTATTTTTTAGATATTAATTGTTTAAGAATCTATTCAGTTCAAAAATATTCCTACCATATTAATTATATGTAAATACCTAAGTTGTCTGACCACCTCTTTGAATTCTCTTCTTTGGACGGTGTAAGGTTCATGACCTATGTTTTTCAATCATTCATACATGACAATACCGACTTTTCCGATGGGAAAAGTTCATTATCTGGTAGGCTAAGTGAAAGGCAAGGTTTTGTCCATTTGCCAGGCTATTATTCCGTCCGCCACATACAAAGCCGTGGCTTTTCCACATTTAGGTAACATTGTTATTTTACCTTCTTCTAAAAAATATATTTTAGAAGACTTATAGTCTAATTTCCTGCATATTATTTAACGCTAAAACAATTTAAATTTTTATAATTTGGAAGATTGTATATTTATTTTTATTAAAAATTTGTAAAATTTAAATTTTATATCGACATTGTACGGTAATTTCATTAATATAGTAATAGTTCGGAACCTAAATGTTATAATTACATGGATTTCATTTCCTTTATTCGATTTGAAATCCGAGCGATATTGAGATAGGACTAGGCGCAAATAATTTCTCTCATATCTTAAGAGCGTTTACACCTTTCGCGCGATGTTAAGTTTAGGTATTTCAGAGCCAATTTCACTTACACAGACGCAAAAGAGTCTGTGTGCGTTAGTTGAGGCGATTTGTAGCGCTAGAATTCGTCATGTACTTGCAATATTATAATAATTATGCGGTCACCGAGGGCTTTGTACTAGTATATATATAATGTAGACGCAGAATGGATTATTTTTAATGGATGGCACATTGGAAATCAAGCACAGTTTTATTATATGACATGTAACTTTAATGAACAGACTAACTTGCAGAAATGATCGGAATACAATATGAATATCTTGTTATTATTAGTTACAGAACTGTAGTTTCAATAAGTATTTCTAATAACAGGATAGATGATACATACAATAATACAAAGCGATTCGTCGCAGACTTGTTGCCGGTGCCGTCCCAAATCCTTGTGTGTTAAGATGGCCGCCCCGCTGCCATAGATACGACGCTCCGCTAGAGTAGCTGTCAATAATGTTACCAATGACAGCCACTCTTGTGTCACAGCGACGTTGATACGCCGACATATATATAAATGAGCTTCTTTTAAAAACAATATATGTATATCGTATAGTAGTGTTTATTATTTGATACCCAGTGAAATTAATTTTTCACGATTTAAGGGCGTAGTGTCAGTAAATACAACAACATCATCAGTTCATATTTTTTTACTGCTCAATAAAACATTTTATTCGGATTTAAAAATTATATGAATTTTAAAAGATTTGTAAAAAGTAATTCTCAGCGGCATCTATCTGGACTTTCATGGGTCTATAATTTCTGGTTGCAGACATTCATTATAATAATCTATTATTTCAACTTTCAAGGAAACGTTTTTACCTGTCCAGACTGCAAATAAACATAAAGTCTTTCTCGTTACCTGCAATTGCCCTTCAATTTGGATTTGGAGTAAAAACCCGGGACCAGAATCAGCACTAAGTAGATGGTGAAAAATATGTAGTTGTATGGCTTATTAATAACTAGACAATAGTTCAGAAAATAAACAGAGAATAGTTTGAAACTAATTTTTCGACGAAAATAAAAAAAACTTTATATATACAAGGTTATTCCTACTTCATTCGAAACCTGAAAGTAGTTTTATACTGTCTATAGTTTACGCGAGTAGTACATATTTAAATAAAACATTTTAACGGTTTAAAACGCGATATATTAGTTGAACTGATTTGAAAATGATTTTTAACTTGTTTCAGCGGTGTTTTTTTAAGTGTGTTAATTAGAAACATGTCTTACAATTATACCAATGTACAATATGTGGTAATGGTGCGAACACTTGCTTTGTGTGGTGATAATGTTGCCGAAGCAGTGAGACGTTATAATGAACAATTTGGCGTCTTGGTATCACGGAACACAATGCTGAGCGTTACGCAGCGCTTACGAGACCATGCCCAGTTCAGACCTGTCGCAGGAGACAGAGGCGAGGAGATTATTCAACGTAAGTCAGTCTTACGTGTGGTGGAATTTAAGGAATGACCACCAATACGTTTATCATTTCAGATGAGCACAAGAGCTGCTCGAAAATGATAAAGCTCAAAGATTCGATAAATTAATGGTGATTAAAATTTTCTCTTTGTTTTAATAATTAACGCTAGACTTACATGTGAGTTTTCATTTTTTAATTTTGATTTTTTATCCTGATTATGCGAATAAAAAGACGTTTGGCGTGTTTCACCTTTAGTATCAACAAAGAATAACCTTGTATATTTAAAGTGATATTTTATGATGATATAATACGGCCGCCGTAACTTGGCAAGTCTGAACATAGTTTAGACGAACGTTAAGAAAACTAATTCTGCCATTTATTTTCGTTACTGGGATAAATTAAAGATTTTACATATAGCAAGCAAAAGTAACATACCAATAATTGATTCAGAGACAATAAGGGCTACGAACACTTATCTTTCACTAAAATACTGAGACAAAACAAAAATATAACAAAAGAGAAGTATGTAATAGTATTAAATTTAACTATAAGCAACCAATTTTCTAACGGACTGCGCTCAAGACAGAGATAACGAAATAGAGGCCAAGAAATAACCAAATAGAGATATCCATACGCGATCCTAGAGAGTGTCGTTTAATCGATTCCTATTGAAATAGACAAAATTGGATCGTAGAAATATATTTGTATAAAAAGCTTTAAAAAAGGTAAAAATATGAATAAATAGTAATTATATAAATGATAACTCATATTTAACTAAATAACGTCGTTCCATAGGGAAAAATAAGTTTTTAATGATTTTATTTTCCGTTAAAAGTAATCATGGTATTGTTTATTAACAACACCATTCACTGTTCTCATAAATGCATTTACTACAACATCACATTATAAAATTTAATATTAAATTACACGAGATAAATAGGCAAATAAAACGTTGTGATCCCTTCATATTTCACGTTGCTAGAATTTATTTATTTTTATTGTTCTATTCCGAAATTCAAAAATGTTTTCTACTAAGTATTTGGTTAAGGATCTTATCAATTGGTTACAAGTTTTTTTCTAATTACATCTTTAAGTAGTTTCATATATTTTAAGCCTCGAAAATGATACTAAAACGAGATTTAAGGAAGCCTGTGTTAAGATATCACGATTTAAGGCATTAATACAGCGTAAATCGTGATTTTTTATAAGTGGTTGATGATATTAACAGGTTTGAAAAAAATTGTTTAATAGATACGGTGGGAATCGTACCTCCGACTCATTCATTATTAGCTATATACGAGATCAACGAACCGATCAAAACACCATTCATAATAACATTATTATTTTACGTTTAACAATGATAATTTTATATAATTCTCTACTGCATCACACACAACGGGTTTACAAATGTTATCTTTAAAATGTTCTTATCAAACTACAGAACGCCTTATTGCTGGAGAGCAACCCCTTTCAGGTTTTAGAAAAAATATACACATTAGTTTTTATGCAATATATAGTACTTGTTTTTAGAGATTATTATGTATTTGAGCCCGAGGCCGCCAATACTAACTGGACGATTGGACTGGTGGCCAAACCGAGAACCACCCAAAGGAGGCATCGGCCTCGGATTGTACGAAAGAACGATTTTTTAACACTAATATTAATAAAAATAATTCGTGTCCTTTTTAACTACACATTACTCTGGTTCTTCGACTGTTGTTCTATACTATCGTGGACTGTTAATTCCCTGGATAGACATTCATTCACGTTGAGACTAGCACCAGCGACATCCCCACTTGAATGTGAATTAGATCGTGATGGCGGGCCCGAGAAGCTTTGTGCCCCACCTGCGGGGACAGTTTAATAAGTCAGGGAACTAGGTGAATCGCAAGCAACATTTCAAAAAACAGTAATTCTTAATTCCATAAGGGGTTACCGCGTGCGTATCTTAAATTAAAAATCGATTTTAGACCGGAAAAAATTACACCACGGGTTGGACTTAAGCCGGCGTCCGTTCCGTGCTGTTGCTGTACCCGATTGTCAAATTTATTCAACCTATTGCATATTGTACATGCGGAACTTTCCGATGTTCTTTATTTAAACAAGTGAAGTTATGCAAATAAGAAAACATAGTTTTTGAAAATGTATGCAAACATGTATTACTGCTTCAAACTTTTTGTGAGGTCCAAACAATTTGCTCAATTTATTGTTTATATTTGTGATACGGACTAAAAAAATCAACAAAAAAACTTAATTCAATGTACAGACATCTTAGTAAAAGTGAAATTCAGATTCCCTTCGTGGGGCATGGGACGTACACATTTCTGTGCCCGTCCATAAACTACTTGTTGACTAGTTGTTGCCTTGCCCGACTGAATTCGCCGGAGTTCGAATTAGCAAATTTACTTTATTTCCATTCTAAGTTTAATAACTAGCTGTATGAGAATTTTCTTAGCGTTGTTAAGCTTTATAATATAATTTACAATTTATTGCATTTAACCGTATTTTTGCCTTTTTTATGTATTTAAGGATCTTATCGAGTGTGTGCAGTGTGAGGGGCGACTAAATAAGTTATTACTTTTCATACACCTCGCCGACAAAATACCGGTTAGACAACTATCTAACGAATCATTGTGGTGGATAACATTTTAACTTACCGTTCCCTTTATGTAGTTCCAGTGGTTGCGCGGTCGGCCGAGGGAAGAGACAGTAGGGGAAAGCTCGCAAATTTTCCCTCCTAATAAACACGAACTTTACTAACGCTATCGGGCCCTGTCAACAAACCAGATTTGGTTATTGTTTATAATTCCCATTCTCCATGGTTAAGCGCATATAATATTGAATTCTTCTATAGTCTTTGTTCTTGTTAAGTATTCTGTGCACATCTGCAACAGCAACAATATTTTCGTACAACATTACATTAAATTCATATATAACTACAAATTATGCGTAATTAACTATTTCAGACTTAAGTAACTATGACAGTACAAATATATATTATACATATAATTGAATAAGTGATAACTAACTTAAAGAAATATTTATAATAATATTAAAAAAATGCGTTAATATCTAAAAGAGTATAAAATGGCATGATAAGAAAAACCTAAATAATTATGTAAACCTAAGATGACCCAACTGAGTAAAAAGTAGTCTTTTGAATGTGTCTTGCTTGCTCCTGAATATATCTACATCCCTATCTGTGCGACAAAATTTATTATACGATCGCATCATTTGAGCAAAAGGTGCTTGGATCCCCATGTTCGTTTTGACGGGGGGAGTGTAGAAGGTGCTAGTGGAACGAGGATATGAATGTGGAACACTATATTATTAATTGATTCTATAAGGTAAGTGCAAGGGATCTGACAATTAATGACTTAACAAAAACGAGCCTTCTATTAAGCAATGAACACATTTTAAATTTTTTGAGCCGCTCAGCGTATGGTTGTCTATGAGAGAAACCACTACAATTATATGCGATATGCCTTGTAAAGGTCCTCTGTATACTCTCTATGCGTTGTGTGTGTATAGCATATAAATGATTCCATACAATATCTCCATAAACGAGATGACTGCGCTCTAGAAAGTTGTAGGTACTACACAGTTTTCGTTATGGTGTTGAAACCATTCGTGTTACGTTTTAAAAATCCCAACATTTGTGCAGATTTAGTTACTGCTGCGTGAATCTGAGGTATGTAAGTTAATTTGCTGTCTAGCATTATTTCCAGGTCGCGAATTTCAGAAACCTCATTTACATACGCGCTGTCAAGCTCGTACACGTGGGCAAGCGGTTTTTTTTCTTGTATTTTTTATACTAGCTGTACCAGCGTCTTCGTCCGCGAGAATGGTTATTTTGGCCGACCAAATTAGGTTTTGCAAACCCCGTCATCTCTATAAACTTAAATTGTTAGCCACGACGTCGATCGCATCCCTTCCCGTAGTTCTTGTAAGCTAATCTTAAAAGATAGACATATAGAGTCGCGAACTTTTTTTTAGATTATTTAAAGAAAAATTATTCTTTCATACACATTTTTTAGTTATCTTGAACCGTTTTCGCAGGGTACGCAAATTTCCCCCGTTTTGTTTACTTTTCACGCTGTACCTTTGCTTCTATTAGTCACAGCGCGATGTTATGTTATAGCCTATAGCCTTCCTCGATAAATTTTCTAACTAACACAAAATAAATAATTTTTCAATTCGAACCCGTAGTTCCAGACATTAGCGCGTTTAAACAAACAAACAAACTCTTCAACTTTATATATTAAGTATAGAATATGGAAACACTTAGTTGCATTGCTGATTCTGTATTTAGTGTGATATAAAAACTAACTTGAGTATTTGTTGTGTATATTAGGGCTCATACAATGTAAATTGTAATACAGGAGAACCCGTTAAAGACGATCCCGTTTAATGCGAATTTTTCATAATACGCTACTTTAGGCTATTCTTTGGAACTTTGGCAATATTAAAAAGAAATTTAAGATAAAAGCAAGCAAAAGAACTTACCTATAAAGTAAGAAATACTGTGAAAAACACCAAAAACAAAATAACGCCTTGAACGAGCGATACAACAGAAAATTTTGTTTTCTACAACAAGATAAGGTAACATTAGTGTACACTTACTAGCCACTATCTACTGTTTCGTAGAACCTTCTTTTATTTCTTACCTGCAAAATGTTTATAACTGCGTTTGCAATTTTGTGGGCTGCGCTAATTCTCACCTTTGAAGCGGCACTGAACATAACTTGATACTGAGAGGCCCCCAGCAAGGTCTATAAAACAAAAAATAGCAAGTTACTAATAAATATTGTAGGCACTAAGGCAAACAAAGTGGTACAAATGTACAAGGCAGGGAGACTATTTTCAAAAGTTTTGGATCTCTATTATTATAAAATGTAAATAATAGCTGGAAGCGGTAGAACTACCGCTGGAACTGGAGGCAGTTTCAGTAACTAGATATTACAAGCAACTAGCAGCGAGGTGTAAACATCCTGCATTTAACAAATAAAATGTAAGGTATGCAAAAAAACTCAGTAAAGACGACGGGAAGTAATATAAGTATTGTCCGCATTCTATTTTAACGGTTTCAAGTGCGGAATATGTTTGTAAATGTATTTATGACACTTAATTATTTTTACCCATAGTTGTATAACTGTTTCATAGAAATTTTAGAGTTTACTTTAAGAGCGTGTACCCTCCACGCGCAATTCGGCTTATAACTCGGCTTTTCAAATCTGTTAATATTATCAACCTCTTATTGTACAAACATGTTTATTACTTATATGCTTAGGAAATTTCACTATAAATGCTTATTAGAAAAAATCACGATTTACGCAGTGTTATAGCCTTATATTGTAATATCTTAACACAGGTTTTCTTAAATACTTGCAACCGATTGATAAGATCCTTAACAAAACGCTTAGTAGAAAAATTGTTGAATTTAGTTTTAGAACTAAATAAAAGAAATAAATTCTAGCATCTTGAAATATGAAGGAATTACGACGTATTTATCTCGCGTAAATTAATATTAAAATAGTTCTATGCGATAGAAGAACACTTTATTTAAAATATTTACCTTAAAAATATATTTATTTGTTATAATTATTTTAAAACTACTAGAAATCGATGCGCGCAAAACAAAATTCAATTCAGTTCGCCGCTAGACTTTCTAGATTGTGGACGTATCGCTCCGCCCTGCGTCGGAGTTGATCGAGCGTACCTACTACGGTTTTAGACATTTATAGAACGATCGACAAGTCTTTGAACTTGACTAAGTAAAATATTGAAATACTTTTTTTGAAGAAAACGCAAAAATGAAGAAATTGAAAAGGCACGAGCTAAAAGGATGTTAGGCTCATTTCGCCAGTTCGCGTCCATTTAGTGCACTTGGGAAGTTTGAGGGCTCTAATATAAATGTTCCCGCACTTATTTCTTTGTAAAATTTCTGTGATGCGATCAATATGAAATATATTTTAAGATTCACTTTTTGTTTTGTTCGAAGCATTTTTTGTTATTTTTCTAAAGCGATAAACTTCAGAAATAGGCATTTTACCCAGTTTACTTCCAGAAAAACCCAAATCGCAGCCACCCCTGGACCAATTCGCGTCTGAGGTCTGAGGGATTCAATCAATATAAAATAGTATATAATAATTAAAACTTGTCTATATAGTAAGCTTCAAACAAAATTATATCACTAGCAAATAGCGAATGTGGAATGCATGCCTACGCGCTGTCACGATCTAAAAATAGCTATTCATGTCAGTTGATACGGACAAATAAAACTTGTACTATAAGACGGTGCGGGTAGGACTAAACAGTGCCTGCTTGTCATACATATTTTTTGTTTTGTAGAACCGTTTTCGTCACACGCAACGGAAGCCCTGAAAAATGAATAATTTTTGCAAATTAAGCCCATAGGTTGAAGCCGAAGAAATGGTCTATCCATCACAAAAATATGTTATCGATTGGAACCAGCCGTTCCTGAGATTAGCGCGTTTGAACAAGCAAACTCTTGAGCTTTACAGTATTAGTAAAGATATACAAACTTACTGTGAAGAGATTCGCTTTCGCCCCTCTAACAAGACGTTGGTGTCCTTCGTTAAGAGAAGTTCCGAGCGACATTATGATGACTCTTCCGAAAAGACCTGTCGTGACAAACGTAAAAAGTTAAAATTATGTCCTTTTCAAGCTGTCATAAAAAGCGAAGTTTTTGGTAGCAACAGAAGCATAGGTTTCATTTATACGGAGAATAAATACTCCAGTCCTGCAACATCTATTTCAGACGATAGATCTTACGGGCTTTGGACCTTCGGAAATATGCAATTCTTGTATGTATGTCTGTCGGTTCCCGAGAGACGATCTGGTAACAGACTAGAGTCCTAATAACGGGTACTCTCCTCTTGTAGTACCCGTTCTTCGTTAGTTTAACTGATGGACATGACGATATGGATTTTTTCTAAAGTTATAATATGCTATATTGTATAATGTCCATTTAAGTTTGTAATATTGAGTTAAGTTTATTAATATATTAGTACATAAGATATTAATAAAGAAAACTAGTCATGCTGTTCTTTGTTTATTAGGCGACAGCCCTAAGCTGTGCTACTACGGGAAAAGTGCTGATAGTGCGCGTATTCGATGCCCATGCGATCGGTATGCGACGCTACTATTGTCGTAGCCATTTAGCACAAGAAGTTGAGTAGAATTATTGTAATCGTGCACAGCGAGACAACTAGTGTGAAACAGTTGTCGTCTTTTTATATTAAACGGATTAACGAGTGATTGAGTTTTTTTGCTACCAGCGGTGGTGTCTAACTTAATTCACCTCTAAACAAGTAATAGAAAATAAACTTACCCAACGACATTACGACGGCTCCGTAAATAGCCATATTTATAAGAATTGTTGCGTTGCTGTCCTTGACCCAGCAGCTGAAACAAAAAATATGTTTAATTGTCGGGTCGAGTTCAAAATACCTAATACTACAATGCGAAAGTGAACATTTTCACAGTTAATATTCAGACTGCATTCATCTTTTACGATTATTGAGTAATGATGTAATATATTCCATTCAAATATTTTTAAATAAAACGATAATGACGATATCTTTCATATTTACTGAAACACCAATCAACGATTACGTCTGCAAACTGAGTCCATTCTGTCCCTCGAACGCCTGAAATGACCACATATAACGTCACGCGTTGTCACACTAAATGGCGTTTTGGTGGCAATCGAAAAAAAATATTCTCAGTGGAAAATATTTTTTGTATACAATTTTGATCTTCGTGTCAAACTTGTTTTTATTTACAGCGTTCGTTTCTTACCTGGGAGAGTATGTTAGATTACGAAAACATAAAAAGGCCGAGAAACTGTCTTAGGAATAATTTAGTCTTTTTTCTGAAAATAATTTTACATAAACTGTTTTCTGCTCAAGAGATGATGCTCAGATGTATTTGAAGTGTGGATCGAAGAAATACTCTATATCGAATATTCATTCACGTTTCATGCAACAGGCTAGTCAACGTAACCCGCCTGCCTAGTGTCTGTCTCTACGTTAACATTTAATCACTCAAATACATTTAATGAAACAATATATAAAACTTAGATTATTGGTTTTTATCGTTTGTATAAAAAGAAGGCGCCAAATTAATTTTGGGTCGAACGTCATTTTTAAAAAATTCAGTAATTAAATTTAAAGATACTTACAAATACGTAGACTGATCGTAAAAGACGCGCACAGCGACGTAGAATAGCATAACGATGGCAGGAACGACCCAATCCAAGAACAAGAACCAGCGCACGTTGTTGTTGAATCTGGATGTTGCCTGACATAAAAAAAAAACTGAAACCTCTCATATAGATAACAATTCACATTGCATATGTGACTTAGATAGAAATGATAAAACAAAACGGCGGGATTTCTTATATGACAACACCGCCTGTCGCGAATGCTGCAAGCGCCAACTATCAAAATGATGAGTCAGCTCCATTGTACGAAAAGATGAATGATCGATTACGTACATTTTTGAACGAGTCGTAGATATATATCGCCTCAGAAAAAATCCCATTAAACTTGGCCATGGCGAAAAAGTTTTTCAATACATGCAGTATTTGACATGTCACCTGTAACAAATTGTTAAATGAATTTTACTCATGTAATAAAACTATTTGCCAAAATAATATTGTAATAAATTGTAAAGCTCGCTATCAATGGTTGCAGTTCATTCAAGTGTCTTAGGTACATAAAGGTAGTGTCACAACGGGCTGCTGAAACCACAGGGGCCAATTAAAAAAATATGATTTTTTCTCATGATAATTTGGAAGAAAATAAATGTGCATTTTTTTATTTCAATTCGTTTGTACTAAAATAATTTACACAGTGATCAATACCGGCCAATATAAACCAGTTAAACATATATTTAAAGGTACATTATCATTATCATCATCGTCTCTGATGGTTGCCGAGCGATTGGGTAGACGGGCGAGGAGAACTAAAACTGCTTTTTCAAATCGACTGTTCTAATATTGATGTTAATAAAAGATGGGCGCTATTACAATCTTTACTATGGTTATTTTAATTAGTAACGACACTCCACCGGGCACGCCTTGTTTTTCGCGTGATGTCAACGGATTTCTTCCTATTGCCTCATCACTGATCACACACAAAAGAGCGCGGAGTTGTGTCAGAGTGACGTAAACGTCAACGGCACCTCGTCCAAGTGACATTGTCAAATGTCAGGTGACAGTTGACGTTTCTTGACACTCTTAAACGGCGATGCGCCGTCATATTTATTTGGCTTCAGTTCCAGATTCTATATCACCCACCTCAGGCCTTCATGATCTAGTTTAATGAACAGAAAGAACTAACTCTTGCTTTGTGAACGAGTCATACTCAAAGTATAAAAAAGTATGCAAGTATTTTAATTGCATATGGTTTTTTTTTTTATGATACAGAAGGACCATCAAACACGGGGTTCACTTGATGGTAGGCGAAATACCCCAGTCGCATAACATTATATATCTGTGGGTTTCTTTATTAGTGTTTTTGACATGTGACACAAGTATAAATCGATCAGAAAGAGGTTGCACCCGATGGGCGAATCGACCCTTTAATTACTAGCCCTACCTTGCTACCATCGCGCCGACGAGGCCGTCAAAGTCAAGAGGATAACCTCGTCCTCTACCTTCTGTGCCACATCAGAAGCGACAAAGATAGCACAATTGATTTGCTTTCATAAGATCATAAATAACCTAATTATTACAAAAATAAATATGGCTCAAACTCACCTATATAGTTAATTTCTAGACTTCTTAATAGCGTATTTAAGAACCATAATATCGACCTTTTTCTTCTATTAATAATTTCAAAAGTAAAACTTTGATAAGATTATATTATTATGTAGAATTAACTAAGAATAAGTATGTTTACGTGTATTGCTTTCAGTGTTGTTGGAGTATAGTATTATAGCTTCTCCGTGTGGAAGCTTCGGCTCCGGGGTGGAGCAACATCCAACAGTCAAGGTAGATAAGAAAGAAGCTATAATACTATACTCCAACAAGTGTGTATGTTATGTCCTTATCTGTAGTCAACATTGTGCATACTTATAAGTTAGGTACGTAATAATTATTCGTACTATAATTAGCGTAATTAGTTTAAAACACGTTGAAGTACCTAGTTAATAAACCTCATTAAATAAATTAATTCATTTATTAGATTTGTAAGATCTGCCTATCTGTATCGTAACTACAAAACAGAGGTCAAATTTTACAACATAATTCATAAATTCTATGTATACTTTTTTCAAAAGGTTTTTAAATAAATAGAACCTCTGACAGTTATCTTATACATAGAAAGAGTTATATAACACTAACTAAGTTCTGCAACAGCACATCATCGCTGTCAAGGGTCATGAAAGACCAAACAATGGAAGAAACGTTTCCGCAGAGAACTGCTATCTTCTGGTTGACGAGCACCCATTTTTGACCGCGACTCATGTTGTGTCTGCGAATAAAAAATCCCTTAATATTTTATCATTCGCCTTCCTTTCCTACACTAGATCAGAAAAACTGACTAAAAGAGGCTTCTAAATTGAGTCTGTTGTTTCTGAGGTTAGATTGCCCAAATAAAAAACAAAGAAAGTCTTCCTGTTTTAAAATAGTCTAGATGTGAGTAGGTAGGGTCAGGCAATTTTTAGAGAGTGTTAAGTAAATCTTTATCTACAATATTATGACAAAAAAGGATTTTTGTTTCCTTAAAGTGTATACTTTAAACTGTCTTTTGATATTGTTCAATACACCAGGTAACTCGTGACGTCACATTTTTTTACAAATGAAAAAAAAAACAATATACAATGTAAGAACTTTATAATTTAAAAATCGAAAAAAAATTGAAAAAAATTTCGACTCGTGCAGGACTTAAACCAGCATCGTCAGCGTTCCGTGCTGTTGCTCTACCAATTGAGCTACCGAGTCAATTTAATTTCGATTTTTAAATTATATAGTGCCTTCATGTGTCTATTATACTATCTAAAAGTATTAACTAATAAATATACTACCTAGCCTCTCTAGCATAAATCGGCTAAGTATTGCCTTGCTACTTCCCGGATCTTTTGCCAGTAGTAATGATAATCTAAAGAATTCTGTCTTGCAGCGCTCGCAATGGAAGCCCAAAGAGAAGATTAAATTTTGTCGCTTTTTCCCAATTTCTCTCTGTTTCTTTGAGCTTCTTAGTTACCTACTTGAATAAATGATTTTTGACTTTGATTGTCCACGAATGACGTCACGCACCGTGAATGGTGTTTGAGTGCAGATGAAAAATGACGTCATCGACATTGGTGTATTATCTAGTGATGCAACGGATAGTTGTTTGGCCGGATACCGAATACCGGATATTCGGCCTTACGACTTGCCGAATATCCGGTATCCGGCCACCGAATATTCGGCCGACCAAACGATACCTATGTACATTTTAGTTTGGCGGCGAACGTGACAGATTATTTGAATTATTTTGTATATATCTATAATTTAAATATACATAATTAAACGTAGTATAAATCATTGTTTTTGTGATGTATAACTGCGGGTAGTTTACAAAATGTTTAAAAAGTAATGTTCGTGTTATTCGATGACGTCAGGCTAACACCTGGTCGGTTGTTTGTGAATTGTATAAAGGGGGGTGCGCTGTAAAGCGGGAGGCAGTAAAATAACAAGCAGTAAGGCTGTAAAAATTAACATACGATACCCTACGATTGGTTGAATGGAGACCTAATGCTGATCATAGGATTTCTTAAATACTTCAAATGAGGTTTCTTGATAAGTTTAAATTGTACGTGACAAACGAATAGTGGTAATTTGTTGTTTTCTTCTTACAAGAAAAAAACAACAAATTATCAATTTTTGTAGTATACATACAAAATAACCATTTTTCAAAGTTAAATAGCAAACAGAATCACTATCGGTATCCGGCCGGATAGTGCGCAACTATCCGGTATTCGGTCGGATAGGCCGGATACCGAATAGTAACCGGATATCCGTTGCATCTAGTATTATCATTTCAAAATATTTGAATTATATATATTTGATAATCGTCATGCAGCCGCACATTTCTTGAATCCTAGTAGACTTAAGTGAATTGCGGGCCCCCTCGGTCTATAGCCGAATGGTAACTCATATCGATGTGTATGTTCTCCAAAGGATTTTTTTTTCTGAAAATTCAAGTTTTTTCAAAAATTCCAATTCGGCATATGGTCGGAGTTACCTGGTTCATTTTAAAAATCTATACAGCTCATTTTAAATATATAAAGCTGAAGAGTGTGTTTGTTCGTTTGTATGTTTGAACGCGCTAATCTCAGAAAATACTGGTTAGAAAAAATCTTTTTATGTTAGGCGTCGAGGAAGGCTAACACATCACGGTGTGACTTAAGGTAAGAAACAGCGGAAAATGTGTAATAAACGGGAAAAATTATTCACCTTACAGGGTTTTCAATCCGTACAAAACGGTTCAAGATAATACCTATTCTACGCGGACGAAGCCGCTGACACAGCTAGTGGTGTATTAAAGTAACTTAAAAAGTAAGTAACAAAAGTAGAACTGACCCCAGAGACAACAATAGTGAAACGGTAAAATATTCTCGGTAAAATATTTATAGTGTTAAAGGCGAACCTAATACCAAACGAAATTGAGTTGAAAGGGAGACGAAAACATGAAATCTATCTTATTAAATAACTTTACAGTATTACATTAAGTTGTGGGTGTTCTTGGAATTCACAGTGTACGTAGAACGACTCAGTGACTTACCAATTGCAAAAGATAGTCAACAAGGTGATCAGCGTAAAGATAGTGTAAACACCGTGACCGGCAATATTTATCCATCCCGCCGTCGTCAAGTTCTGCAAACCATTTCTCCATTTAGTCCTATAGTCCGCTAAAGAAGAAGGTAAAGCCCGCGCTCTACTAATTCTTATTACTAGTCGTCTAAGTAAAAGGCCCTCTTTAAAGCAATCAAGAAATGGTCAAGGTTTTGAGAACAAACAAAAAGGGTAAGTGACGATTTCTACGATATGAGGCGGCGTTGTAATTTAAATCTATCTATCTTTATCTATATCTGTATTTGCTAGAGCATTTATCGAGGAAGCCTATAAGGCTATAAAACATTGCTCAGTGACTAATACAAGCGAAGACACAGCGAGAAATGTGAGAAAAATCGAAAAATTAGCTGCAAAAACGGCTTAATATATCCGAAAAATATGTACGAAAGAATGATTCCTCTTTAAATTATTTACAAAAAAGTTTGCGACGCTACGTGTCTATAATCTAATATTATAAATGCGAAAGTAACTCTGTCTGTCTGTCTGTTACTCTTTCACGCCAAAACTACTGAACGGATTTGAATGAAATTTGGTACATATATGGTCTAGACTCTGAGAAAGAAAACGAAAAGGGGGTTGTAAGGGGTTAAAAAGGGGCGAGGGGGGGGAGGGTGGAAAGTTTGTATGGAAATTCGTGGTTTTTGAAGATAGAACATTGAAACTTTCTTCTTTGGCTATTTGAGAGTAGGACTGGGAGTAAGAGTAGGTGTGAGGTGAGTGTGTTGCGGCAAAGCAGCACTTACAACATAAATTGGCTGCGATAAATTAATAAGCGCCCTTACATAAATTAATAAACAGCCTAAATAATTAAAAATTCTACCCCAAGTCACTATTCCACGCGAACGAAGTCGCGGGCACAGCTACTAATCAATAAGCTAAAAATATAATTTACGTTATTAGATGGGGAAAAGTGAAAAATTAACAAAACCTAACTTTTCAATAACCCAACCCTGGCACAGGTATTATTTACTTAAAAGGGTTTCCAGATCAAAAACAGTTTAATGTAAATATGGTTCCTGAATAAATACTTTAAAATTTAAATAGAACAAAAGCTAGTGAAAAAAAAAACAGTGACATAAATATGACGTATCAGGGAATCGGCCCAAACGGCAACAAAGAGCCAAGATCCATCTATGTTACACGGTACAGCTACGATTCAATAGGGCCGGATTCACACGAACTAGTAAATACAAATAACTACACAAGAAATGTGAGGTTTATAATACAAACATCTTTGAAAACTTTATTAATTTTTACATGTTATTGCACATGAAGGCACTATATAATTTAAAAATCGAAAATAAACTGACTCGGTAGCTCAATGGGTAGAGCAACAGCACGGAACGCTGACGATGCCGGTTCAAGTCCTGCCCGAGTCGAAAATTTTTTTCAATGTATTTTTGGTTTTTCAATTATACAAACATCTTAATAAAAGGAGAGTAAAAGTTAAAAAAACCCAACAGAGCCATTCATCTGAGTGGGTGTTTCGGAATGCACTTTGTTAAAATAATGCAAATTCGTAGATAGGGATATCTACCCTTTATTTAGTACGTTCATTTAGTAGGTAATTACTTTTATTCTTGATGCACCGAAAGAGACTAGACGCCCACGACACAGAAAGTCCTAGTGTGGGAGCAGCAGGGAGCACCGAATCGCCCAATGTAATTGATAATATTTTTTCTAACAATACAGACTTTGTATTTGTAAGACACTTACTGTCAATTTTGAATTGTCGTCATAGCACTTGCTGTAATCTGGTGATTCACCGCCGTCTGCCCAGATTCCGCTGTCCGTGCAACTATAATAGATTAAAAAAAGTTAAGTAAAATCACTATGTAAAAAAATTACTTGCTGTTTGTTTGTATAGCTAAAACTCAAACACAGCTAGTCTAACATGGCTAATTTTAAATAAAACACTTTAACGGTTTTAACGCGATATATTTTCGTTTTTTTTTTAATGTGTACTACTCACGTAAACTACAGACAGTATTTGGTTGATTTTTAATACCCGTGCAAATCCGGGGCAGACTGACAGTTAATTAATAAAGTAAAACATTATCATATCGAAAAATAAATAAGTGAGATCTTAACGGGAACCGAGTCTAGTGGTCATACAATTTTATTTATGATAACATGAAATGTATTTATAAATATTATAATGCAGCCTTTGTATTCACCTAATGACCTCTATGAATCATTTCAGCTGTGTAGGATATAGTTTTTATCTATATAGCTCAGATAGCATTAGATATAACGATTTTTGGTCGTCAGTAACTAAATAAGCGTTTAGTTAACAAGAACTTAGAAGTGAGCCCTAGATTTATATTTATCTATTCTATTGAGTAGGTTTATTCAAAGAAGTATAGCTATTAAAAGGATGGGTATAAGAAGAGGTGACAGTGTGAAGTTTTCATCGTGAAAGAAATATTGTAACCTTGTAACCAGTTTATAAATCTTAGGAAGAAATAATGGCGTTTTTGTTTAAATATATTCTCACCGGTTAATATAGCAAGCGTATAGTGGGTTCCTGATATGCAAGCACTTAAATATTGATCTGATCTGATCTCAGTAGACAACAAGAAAGTCTCAAGAGTGTCTCAAGATAACCTTCTGGAAGTCTGATTGGCTGTAGTGTCAATTTGATTATCAAAAATAAATACTGTCTATTAAAATGATTTTTATGAATCTTGCGTGTAATGTTTGAGGTTTTACCCCTGTGGAAGAAATTATAGGGATAGTTTTTATTTATTCACTTTCCATTTAGTTTCCCTATGTATTTGGCCGATATGTTGTGTGTTTGCTACCTAACTAGAATCGTTTTATCGGCGAGAGTGGTTCTCTTTTGTCTCTAAAACTGATTGCAGAGAATATTTGTAATAGGGTTTACGACTAAACTATTTGGTATTCGGTGAATTTATATTTTCTTAATGAGTCATCTGATTAACTGGGTCGTGTTGTTATAATATGTTTTTGATGATTTCTTGTTTCTATAATTTGTATAGCAAGGATAAAGCCTTCGGTTTCCGGAAAAGGTCTTCTGAGAAAATCGTTTGACGCTTACGTGTCCGGCATGGACACGAAATCGTCATTGTATTGTGTTGTGTGTGTCGATGTAATTAGATATACCTACTATTCAAAGATTATGAAGATGTCTTCCATGAAATTATTTATATTACTATTCCTTAAGCTTCGTCCGTTCGTCGTTAAGATATTATAATAGTTAAGAAAAATCAAAATACGGTCACCTTTTAGTAAAATTCTCTATAAACCTATTACTCATTTATGATGTATCTACATGGGCCACCCGAAGCAGGTCGAGCGTCGTAACTAATTAAAAATGTATAGACATTTTTAATCTACTAGAGGAGGAAGCTCTCTAATTACTTACGCGATTTGAGTGGTTCTGGTTGGATCAAAGGATAAGACATAGCTGGGACAACTCAGAGTGATGTTGGTGCCCGCTTCAGCAGCTGGTCTGCACTGGACCCCATCAAATAGACGACTACAATTAGCAGCGATACCTGGAAACGAAAACAATGATACATTTTCGATTTAACAGTATCGATATGAATTTTTGTAAATAAAGGTGACACTGCACTAGTATGTATATTTGAATTTACTTTATTTCTATTTACATCATTAAAAGCTTTTGTGGATTGTAAAATAACTCTTGTTTGTTGATTAGATCTTTGCAATACTTCAATTTGTTTAATAAAAGATAATTTATTATAAAAAAATGTGTACTACGTGTTTTATATAGATAGGTCTTACGTGTTCGAATGTTACACATTGACATAACATCCAAGGGCAATCTACTCCCAACATCTAACGACTCGGTTTGGTTTATTGGCAAAGCCTTATAATTAAGATATGAAGATTTCAATAAAAGACAAATCTTTCAAGATCTTTCGTGCTTGCGCTTATGCCACTTTTCAATGTCAATAACTCTCAAAGTAATAGACACCCAGTAAAAATAATACAGTTAAAAGAATTTGCTTTAATTTGGTAGTTTAATTTGTCTTTGTTGAGTTTGTTCCTGGTAACCATCGATCACTAATAAACGGTAAAAAATTCTTTCACAATGAACTTGACTGACAATATTATTGAGAATCGAATAATCGTATTTTTAATGTAAGACCAATATAAAAAAAATATTATAGAGGCATATATTTTTTAATTTTATCCCAAAGAGGACGGGGGCGAACACATTTTTGTTTCTTACACAAGATGTACTTGACATCAGATTTTTGTGCCCTGCCCTGCCGAAACAATGTATTGTCTCCCCTTCGAAAAGCGGACCCAGGACAGGCAACACGACTACAGGGGCGGTTAGCGTAGAGGTGGGTTGAACGAAATCTATGCCCTATTAGTGCATCATTAATAATGTCGCTTGTTCGTGGCCGGACATATTGTATAAATTATAATTAGCAAAAGAAAAGAAAAAATGAAGTAAACGCTCACGCTCACTAACAAGCAGGCTTTTCTGTTTTTACTCTTAAAAATACGTTTGTATGGAATATGGATCCGCTATATTTCGTGCAGCGGAATAAAGAGAGCCGATGTCTAGCGTGAAAAGCTCAGACCCAAAGTCGACCTAGTAAGATCTTTTGTTCCAAGGTACAGTAAATGCCAAGGCGCAGTAGCGCAAGTTAAGTTCTGTTAAATTGTATATAATTTTGATTCAATATTTTTTGAGGCAACTCGTTGGGCAAAAGTGGACAGTCCACAGAAATAGCGTTTCTTTTAACATTTAAAACATGCACTATAGACAGTACTTAACGTAGAACCTTAATGCGCACGCACGGGTTCAAATTACATTGCGCGAGAGGTGCATGTATCAATAGGTTAAAATAAAATAGACGATGTCGTGTAGAAGTCGGGTAGAGCAACATCACGGAACGCTGTGGGTGCCGGTTCTTGTCCTGCCCGAGTCGTAGTTTTTTTCAATTTATAATCAATTTTCAAATTATAGTGCCGTCATGTGAAAAATATAAAAGCTTGTATAATATTTACAAAACTTAATGGCTTAAATTAATAAACAATCCAGTTATAAGAAGCTTTAAACACGAAAACTAAAGGAAATACAAATAAAAACAGTATTGAGGTCAAGAATCATTAAAACATTGTTGTGTTGTGTTTAAAAGGGATTTTCTTTAATGTAAAGAGAGCAAGGTCACGACGGAACAAGGTCATGAAGGACAAGGAGATGACCTTGAAATGAGAATTAAAAACGGTTGCGTTTCGTTACTTGGGAAGAAGCACTGAAGGCAGTTATTGGCTCGACAAAAGGTAGTAAGCCTAGATTCTAGACAATTTATTTATCTGCAGTGGCATGCTTTCTTCCACCCTGCAACAGTTTTCTTACGCTTATTCAAACTATTTTTATAACAATATGTGTTTTCTGCCACCATTGTTACGGTGTCTAAATTATGAGCATGCAGATTATCTATCGTATTTCTATCTTTTACTTTGAGCTGCATAATGCCCCACAGCGATTGAATTGCTCGATGTTACCCTCGCCCCAGCGATTCTATTTTTTTTTTCGTGGGGACAACCTTTCGGATACCCACCGCACTAGAAGGAGCAAATGGGTTATGTCTGACTTAAACCGACTAATCCCCCACAATAAAAACCTCCGACACAAATGTGAAGCTTCTGATCTCTTGAGAACTCGCACGGTAGCCTCAATATGTCTGCCTTTTACGGCACTCCACAGTATGCACTATTGATTCATTCATATCATAAAAACACATGGTTCCCCATGCACTAAAAATAAATATATATACAAATATACAAATCAGAGGTCAATTCTGCGAAACACGCGTCCTCTCACGTTTAAATCTCTCTTTCTGCAACATCTCAGTATCACAGAAAGCGAGCATCGCCTTCCATTGTCTTTCACTTTGAGTCATTGCATGAACAACAGCCGGTAAGGAGAGGTCTCCGCCAACAACTGCACAAAGAGCATTGCGTTCAACAGACCAAGCAGGACAAGCTTCCAATGTATGCTCCGAAGAATCGTCATTACTACTGCAATGGTAGCATGCCGCATTAGGCCTTTTACCAATACGACACAAGTACCTACCAAAGGAACCATGCCCAGTCATCACCTGCACCAAACGAAAAGATAAAAAGCCATGGCACCTTGTCAACCAAGCATCAAAAACCGGCATAATCGCAGAAACCGTTCTTAATCCAAAATCAACATTCGTCAACCTCTCAGACCAAATTTCTAAAGCTTCTCTCCGCAAATTATCCTTTTCCCTGTTCATCTCAATTAGAGCCAGACGAAAGCCTCTATTCTTAATCACCTCTTCTTCCCAATGAAATAATGACGATAAAGCTCTTGCATCTAGATCCCATGGCAATGATCCAGCAAGAAGATACGCTGCATCAAAAGAAACTGTCCGGTATGAACGAGTAATTCTGATAGCTAAAGTTCTCTGCGGCTTCCTCAAGAGAATAATATCTCGATTTGACAAAGAGTCTGCCCAAATTGGGGCCCCATAAAGGGCCAAGGATCGCACAATACCCATATAGAATTGTCGACACAAAAAATTAGGACCCTTTAAACACCTAAAATGAGCAAATTTATTCAAAGTAACCTCTAAACCTAAGCGACTAATACGATCAACAACATCAGCCACACCAGCTGTCGCTAAAACCGATGCCTCCGGGAAAGATATTGCTCTAGCAGTAACAAGAGTATCATCAGCATAACAAGTTACCTCAACATCATCAATATTGGCACCCCGCAAAACCCAATCATAACTAATATTCCAAAGGAGCGGCCCCAAAACCGAACCCTGAGGCACACCGCAGGACCAGCCCACCGACTACCGCCCCAGCGATTCTTATGTTTACTTTAACCGACCCCAAACACAAGACTGATAAAGAACAACAGAACGAAAGTAGCGTTACACCCCCGTACGGACCATACTATCGGCATCAATCCTCTTTGACGAATATACTTATTTATATTTGCGTCAGTTTTTTGCACTGTTTTCCATCCCACATTACTTTCCTTAATTACCCACTTAAGTGTTGTCAGTTCTCACACAAAAGGCTCGGAGAAACCGCGGTAGGGGCCTCCGAACCGGTACCGGTGAATGCAGACGTTGCCTCAAGCGGGAGCGAGATCGCATCCTCGCGTTCACTCATCGAGTTAGAATGAGATAGAAAACAAGCGGGCGGTAAATTATGCGGTGCAAAGACATCAGCTGAATTTATTGTTAGAATGTGCTCTCCGCATTTAAAAACAACGGTTTTAGCAGGATATGTTGCTTGCGTTCTGGCTGTTGAGAATTTTGTAAAATCCCTTTTTAAATACTGTCTGTAGTTTACGCTAGTAGTACACATGTAAATAAAACACTTTAACGGTTTAAAGTTCAACTTATTTGGAAATTATTTTAACTTCGGATGCTTTGCAGCAGTGGTCACGGGGAGTCACAGGGGTAAGTATTTTATGAAGACGTGAGAACGGGTCTCACGTCTTCATAAAATACTTTGAACATCCCTTTTGATTTCGATTCTTGTAATACATATAATATAAAATATAATACCCAACACTCTTTTGGTTTTCTTTTTCTTTAGTAGCGTTAGTTATCGACGTCCATTGCGCACGAATGTACTTAGAATACGGTCACTCGGCTTGGTTTCCTGGTTCGGGTTTCCTTGTTTTCGTCATTGAGAGACTGAGTCGCCGTCGACTGGTCGACAGTGCGTAATGCCTGCTATCTAGCTAACGCAAAAGGGCTAGCAACACAAACCACCGTTGCTAGTCAATTTTGTGTCAACTATACTCTAACTCGACGTATTATTTAGTATTGGGGTGTATTTTAGTGTTAGGTTAGGTTACTAATATTAGTAGAATAATGAGAAAGAAAGAAATAGATGGGTAGAGTTTTTAATTATTTAGGCTGTTTATTATTTTTTTAATTGAGCATTTATTGCAGCCAATCTATGTTGCAAGTTTTACTTTGCCGCAACACTCTCACCTCACATCACTCCTACTCTAATTCCCACTCCCACCCCCACTCCCAACCCTACTCCTATTCTCAAATAGCCAAAGAAGAAAGTTTCATTGTTCTAGCATCAAAAACCACGAATTTCCATACAAAATTTCACCCCCCCCTTTTAACCCCTTACAACCCCCTTTTTCGCAATAAAAAGTAGTTCGCAATAGCCTATGTTCTTTCTCGTGGTCTAGACCATATGTGTACCAAATTTCATTCAAATCCGTTCAGTAGTTTTGGCGTGAAAGAGTAACAGACAGACAGACAGACAGAGTTACTTTCGCATTTATAATATTTAGTAAGGATTAGTAAGGAAGGTAATTGCTACCTTTTGTTATTAACGTTGTAGATAAATTAGATAAATACTGGCGCGGACATTTTCTAGATCATTGAACACATATTTTTCTCTAACCGTTTTCGCAGCGCACGCCACAAAAGCCCTCAAAGACAACTTATTCTCCTCGCTGGTAAAACCAAGTTGCTCTCTGTTTCTTGGCGTGCATATGTGTTGCAGTGCCAAACTAGCAGTGTATTTAAACATTTCTGTATCTTTTGAAGCCCAACAAAATGCGATAGGTTAGGTTAAGAGATAAATGTGAAATTTTAAAAGGATGAACACTGCCCAAGGTCTACAACGTATAAATGTAGTCAGAAATATTGGTTACGCATTTAATAATAAAAATATCTATTTTTATTGGATTTGTTTGATGTTATTCTAACATAAATTGCGTTGTACAGACTAATAATGCCATGTTCAATTGTACGCTTAAATTGTTACTTGTACATTAAAAATGTTTGTAAAATCGTAAGATACAAGATGCATCTTTATCACGTATTTTAAGTACAAATGAATTAGATGTATCACATCTATGCCCATGCCCCAGGTGAGCAGTATTTCACTGTGTTAGACAAACTTATTGCTATAGGTACTTACCATTCAGTGAGTAGATTGTTCTTCCTGGTCGTGGGCACTCTTTCATCTCTTCGTGATATGCGTCGAGGTCGAAGCGTTTATTTGACGACGTAATCCCCATGCTAAAACAAAGAGCAAAAATTTAAATATATAATCATACTAGCTGACCTGGCAAATGTTGTTTTACCATTATAGGAAGTATTTCAACTTCTTGTGAGTTAATTTTGCGGACATTTTTTAGATTAGATTAAAAAAGAATAATTCTTTCATATATTGTGGGTATCTAGAATCGTTTTCGCAGAGCATGCAACAGACAAATGATTTTTGCCACATTTCACTGTGTTTTTTCGCTCCTATTGGTCGCAGCGCTATGTATAGTATAGCCCTTCTAGCCTTCCTCAATAAATGCTCTAACCAGATTTTTTTCAATTAGAACCTGTAGTAGTCGTGTGTGTCTGTAGTTCATATGTGCTTTATTTGTTTAATTTTGCGTAGATTCTCGTGCGTGCTGTGTTCGCAGATGTAATGACGTAAAACGATGCATGTGTTAATTTTTTATTATTAAAGACATTATTGTATAGTTATAGTCATTATAGATATTGGACTTAGACTTTAAATACTAATATTAGATTTTAAGGATTTTATGTAAATAACAAGAAGATATAGTGTCATATTTATATATATATATTACACAGGGTTACGATACTTAATTGACATATATTGATCCCAATTCAATATAATAAGAAGTATATATTATATCATAACCTATTTATTACAACAACGTCCAAACAACCAACGTCTACGTTTCAAAATACGTTAAGCAATAGACAATTCTGATGTCACCAACGTTGTAACCAATGTTCAACGTACGTTTTCTCAAAAGCAACTGCCCTACCCACTCTACAGCGCACCCCCTTTTATAACAATCCACAAACAACCGACCAAGTGTTAGACCCACATTTATATATTACAAAAATAATGATTTATACTAAGCTTAATTATAATATTATATACAAAATAATCTGTTCCATGCTATTCGCTAATGATTTGTAGCCCTTACATTTTGTGACTATGTACGGTCGGATCGCGACATTAGATCCTCCAACGCTACATTTCTGTTCTCGCCTTTTTTCTATTTTTGCTTGATTTTTAAAGAAGGGAATTAAAAAGACTATTCGTATTACTCGTATATTGGCCTGGATGACATCTATACATATAATAAAAACGTAACCGATCGCAGTCCAATGCATCCAAAACAACAGGATACACATACACACACATGTTGGCGATCCTGGTTTACCGTATTTTCTAATAATTTGTGTAACTATTTTTCAAGGTTTTATGATTTTTACAATAAGATTTATGTCACTTTTTTTTCAAAGGGAAATCGTAGGCACTTAGTAACTACAGCCTGACCCCGATACATGAATGATTTGGTTAATTCTGACATGGCGTCAAAACAGACATATTGTATTTGCGCATGTGTGTGACCTAATTGTATTACTTCACCCAGGTAGACGTATTCGTCAACAACTTCGAGTACAGTGCTTCCAATAGATACAGAGGTAGGCACTACATGGGCGTTCGACATTATTTTTGTCTTGTCCATGTTCATACTCGGCCTGAGTATGAACATGGACAAGACCTGCTTGGAAACACTGTTGAGGTCTTCGAGCATTGTGTTTAGATCCTCCAAAGACTGTGCCATGATCACAATATCGTCGGCAAAACGCAAATGGGTGAGGTACTCGCCGTTAATGTTGATGCCCAGTCCTTTCCATTCTAGGAGCTTGAAAGCGTCTTCCAGAGCAGCTGTAAAAAGTTTTGGTGAGACAACATCACCTTGCCGAACACCGCGTTGCACTGGGATGGCCTTCGTACACCGATCTTGTACTCGGACTGACATATTGGCGTTCTTATACAAGCACCTCAACACCTCGACGTATCGATAATCGATGCGACACCTCTGGAGAGATTTAAACACGGCCCAGGTCTCGATCGAATCAAAGGCCTTCTCATAGTCCACAAACGCTAAGCATAATGGCAGGTTATACTCTTGCACCGTGTGTATGTGGTCTATGGTGCTGTAGCCTTTTCGGAAACCGGCTTGTTCGGGTGGCTGGAATTCATCGAGCCTACGTTCGAGACGATTCGTGATGACCCTAGAGAACAGCTTGTAGACATGGCTCAGAAGCGAGATCGGTCTGTAGTTCTTCAGGAGGGATTTGTCACCTTTTTTGAAGAACAGGACCACTACGCTTCTGCTCCATGCCTCCGGCGTTGTGCCTTTGAGCAAGGTGGAGGTAAAAAGCCTCTTAAGCACTCTGAGAACTGGCAAGAAAACATATCAAAACGAATTAAGCACTGCTACCTGTAAGTTTTACAGTTCAATCTTTGCGCCTAAGACATTGCTAAATAATTGTTATAAGTTCGTGTAAATTAAGGAAAATAATACGTCGATATTTATAATTCTAATGCTGTATATTGCCGGGGGACTTGATCAAACCCCTACGTTCTAGCGAAGATCGCGTAGCGTCTCTCGTGCTCCCTCTAGCCGTAGACAGATGCGTCTACGGACGTCCGCGTCTACAGACGAATCTCTACGAGC